AAAAAAAAATCCTTCCATTAACTTGTTACACCATGCAAGCGCCTTCGGGCCATTTCCGAAACTATTTAAAAGTTCCTTTTTGTCCACGGATTCAACGCCCGTAATGTCAACTTCCAAGCTGCGGAGAGAAAAATGAAAAAGAATGACAATAAAACAATACTTTTCACCAAAGCTCTATAAAATAATGAAAGATATATTTATAAAATAAGGCGAACTATACAAGTTAATAACTGACTTCCAGTTGCCGTTCCTGTGCGTCTTTTACATCTGCCTAATTACTTTTAAAATAAAACAAAGTCGCAATTAAACCTATAAAATGCAACAAAAAAAAATTCCGCACACAGGATTCTCCCAAAAAACCATTTCGTCCTTTTTTGTGGAATAATCTTTAGATGGATGAAAAAAGAAAAGCAATGCATTACGATACTTCTAAGAGTAGGCAAACTACCCACTCAGAAATGAAATGAAATACTAAAGCGGCTACTAAAGAACGATAGCTGGCAGTTGGTTGCTTAAAAATGACTCTGGAAGCCCCGGCATGAATAGTCAAAGTTCTTCATCAAGAACGATAAAAGCTACAGCTGCGGACTCATCCACCTTTCATTAGCTAGTAAAATACTTACTGGCAAACAGTTTGGAGGAGGAATGAGAATAAGAAGTCGAATAAGAACAAGAGGCAGTGAGTACACAATTTTGACTTGCACGAGGTGGGTTGGAGAAATTTCAGAAAAATAACAAAAATTAACTTCATTTGTAGTAAGCTGTACCAGACGGGACAAATAATACTGTAAATGGAGTGATAAAATAAAGGATATGAAACCAACAACTAAAACAAAGTGCCCATTTCAGTGTACTTATATTCCCAACGAAAATAACGGCAAAAAAGTACTCAAAAAGCATAAGTGAAGGGCAGAAATGAAAAAAGGAATTTCAAGAAGGTTGCTTAAAGCTAGGAAGAAATTTGAAGAACTGTAGTCAAGAAAGCTGAAAGTGGGCGAAGAAATGTCACTGTAAACACCAAAGATTTGATTTGCAGAGATCCATAAGGCAGAAATATGAAAAAAACATGAAAATAAATTTATCGCTTTTATTCTTCCCTAATTAAGCGTCATTTCCAAAATACCATCATCAGGTACCTTAAAAAGCCGTACAAATTTTGAACAAAAAAAAAAAGTACATATCGTTGGCAAATATTTGCGCACAAAATGATTTCAGTTAAAAAAAATATTTTTGAACTGCCCAGCCGATGACACTGTGTTATGAGAAAAAGAATTCTTTAAACTAATGTTAATTTATTAAATGATGTTGAATGTTTCTAAAGTTGAAGAAAAAAAAAAAGAAAGGAAATAATATACCGTGACAAAACCAGACGATAACGTTCATGATACAACAGCGCTTCAACATACAATTGCTTCGTGTAGAAACATTTTTTTAGAAAAGACGTAACTCCATTGTCAGATTTTGAAAAAATAATTAGGCTAATTAGTCCAAGTTATTACAAAACAAAGAGAAAGAAAAAATTTGCAATAAGCAGGTACCAATTTGAAGTACGAATGATAAATCTAACTAACACCATAATTTGATGCATACAGATGCTAACAAATATCGTTGGAATTTCATTATCGTCAGAACTCCAAAGATCTTGGCAAAAGATGTTAGTAATACACCGAGTTATTGTCCCACCAGAACAAAATCCTTAACAATTACCCTTCCTTGTGTTGAAAAACTAAACAAATGCAAACGGCATCACCAACAAGTTTTCGCGTACAACCTGTTCGTTGACTCCCATCCCGTCAACAAAAAAATCAGTCTGTATATCAACGAATGATGATACTCAAAACAAAAAATTCTTTGCACAGCGAGCAAGACCAAAAGTTAAGTTTAAAGCGATTGGTCTTGGTTCATTTGATAAAGCCAGAATCAACCAAGTTTACAACCTAGCCGTAAAATGCTGAAAAAGACAAAGAAACTGCATTTTTCTGTACAGTTTCTTATCAACTTCGAAGTACTTCTACTAAACGTCGTTTTCCCGCCATAATAACAGCTTCCACACTGGCAAAATTCCAAAATTAAAGAAGTTCGTTACGAAATTGGCCTCCCGTAGGTATCCGCATTTTTCGCTGTGGTTATCATACTTCACCATCTACAAAATCGCCTTCTTCAGAATGCATTATACAGAAGAAACAAGTCCTTTTATGCCACTCTACTCGTTTACAATTCTAGTTTCACTGCCTGGATAGCGGGAACTGTCGGCCAACTATCTGGCTCAGTACAAAGTCAAAAAATTCCTTGGACGCTTGAATGTCTCCTTGCCTTTCAACGCGGGGCAAACGGTACAGATAGAGAGAAACTGAAGAGTTTGAGCAGAGAGAAACATGAAGTAACATAAAAGTGGACATACATTACTGGTAATTTTTTTCTGAAATTATCATTCCTTGGAGTCTAAAAGAAAGATGACTTTGTACTACCAAATATGTTAGGTACTCCTTTTCTTCCGAGAAAAGCGAAATCGAGTCCAGAAATTTCCTGAACATTGCTCAGCCCCATTATGTCACCACAAAAAATGAAAATGCTGTCCTCCGCAAAATTTTTTCGGAGTGCAGCAGGAAAGATTTCATTTCGAAACGCTGCTTTTTGTCTGATCACTCGTTAGTAGTGTTGTTTTTGACACCAGACTCACTAACCATGCTTCAGGAGTCTTTTTAAAATAAATGCATAAACTTTTCATTTCGTTATGAGTCTTGGGGCGCATTGCCATCTTATGAAAGATGCTTGCCAAAAATCACTGAGAAGTCTTATGTAACTTTTTCCTGCCTTTTTTGTCTCAGAAAGGAAGTAAAGCCGAAAAAAGAGTAATATCCTCTCATTAGAGGAAAAAAACGCTCCTGCCAGTGATGGCGAGGTGCTGAAACAAAGTAAACCCCCGATAAAAATTGCTGCATTTCACTGGTCCCTTATCTCTACGCTTGCAAACAGGTGAACTTGGTTATATAACAAGTCGTTAATAGTTGTAGACAAACTTCGGTGTATGAAGTGTGCATGCACAGTTGGATGAAATAAACCGAAATAAAAAACAAAATTAGAGGGATTAGAAAAAAAAAAGGATTCCAGTCGTCAAAATAAGTTTGTTATGAGAATGGTAATGAATGATAATCTCGCTTTCATAAAAAAAAAGGTAAAAGTATTAAAATGAGAAAAGTTTTTTGACAAAACTACCCAAATAATCTGTCAATGAAATGAAAAGAAAGCACAGTTTGTTGCGCTAAATGAAATTTTATTTGATCGGTTGGCAAGAAGTGAATAAACTTGATAATAGCTGACTGCACTGTACAACGGTTCATCTAATAAGCTGTTCACATATTAAGTTAGTAAGTAACTAGGTAAAACTCTACGCTCAGTCATCACCCCGCGCAAAAGTAATGTGAATCTGAATCTTGTTACACTGAATCAGCGTTGTCTGAAATCCCAGGCTTTAGCAGTTCAAAAAAGCTTTTGTTGGTCGTCTGCCATTTGCAGTGCGTTAAAAGCTTATAACAGCCCTATAGCACAAAAAATTGGCAAAAATTTTTCATTTTGCCGTTGCTGCCAAATGCAGGTTCTGTCTGAAGTTGCT